TCAGCCAATCAGGGGTTTTTGATATCGGGCTTTCGACCAATCAGATTCTTTGTGCTTGGAAATTCAGCCAATCAGGGATTTTCGATGTTGGGCTTTCGACTAGTCAGATTTTTTCTTGCATGGAAATTCAGCCAATCAGGGGTTTTCGATGTCGGGCTCTCGACCAATCAGATTCTTTGAGCTTCGAAATACTGCCAATCAGGGGTTTTCGATATCGGGCTTTCGACCAATCAGATTCTTTGAGCTTAGAAATTCAGCCAATCAGGGGTTTTCGATATCGGGCTTTCGACCAATCAGATTCTTTGTGCGTGGAAATTCAGCTTATCAGGGGTTTTCGATATTCGGCTTTCGACCGATCAGATATTTTCTGCATGAAAATCTAGGGGGAAAGGGCGGACTTGAAGTAGAAAAGTACAAAAAGTACTTCAAAGTCGCTCGAAATAGCTTAAAGTAGCTTAAAGTAGCTCAAAGTAGCTTAAAGTAGCTCAACGTAACTTAAAGTAGCTCAAAGTACTTTTTAATTACGTTTAAGTAGCTTCAAATTACGTCATAGTACTTGAAATTATGCTAAAGTACTTTAAAGTATTCTTAATGATCTAGATATACATAGAACAAAATTAAATAATGTTGAAAAACTATGAATGATTAGTTTATTCACTTTTTACAACAGTAAATACTAGCAAAACAAAAAAAAAATGAAATGAATAAGTTTACTAATCATGACTAGATATTTGTTGCATGACACGAGATAAACAATCACTTGATAATTTCGTTATTGTAAAGGTTGATGAAAGTAAATCGGGGTCGGGGAATCCGAATCTGAAGTTAGTTTTTCAAAATTTTGAATTGAATTTTTTGGGTGAAGGAAAGGATTTTTTGAGAAAATAGCGATATTTTATAAAGGTTGACGAAAGCAAATCGGGATCGGGGAATCCGAATATGAAGTCAGTTTCTTAAAATTTTGAATTGAGTTTTAGGGTCAAGAAAAGGGTTTTTTGAGAAAATAGCGATATTTTATAAAGGTTGACGAAAGCAAATCCTGGTCGGAGAACCCGAATCTCAAGTCAGCTGTTCAAAAACTCAAGTATGTTTTTGTATGAGACAAATCATCCTTTTTTATCTGAATTATTGTCTAAGGAAAAAGTCAATTTTTTTAAAGCAAAAGGCACTTGAAAAAATGGAAACCCGAAATATGGACAATCCTTCTGCGTATTTGGAGTTTGTAATTGCTGTTTAGTTTCGGTTCCTCTTCATAGTATCGTTGTAGACATGAATCAGAGTGTGATCTAATGGGTTGAGTGTTTCAGTAAGTCGTAGTGTGATGAAACAGTGTTTACAAACCATTGGCACTCAGTCTAATGTGTGCAACATTGTGGGATTCATGATTATTCATAGTGATTTGTGAGTTAAGTGGCCTTTTTTGAGTGCACTCTGCTTAAGTCGAGAGAAGTAGCATTAAAAGAATCCTGTAAATGAAGTTACGGCCTGTAGGATAAATGCTGAATAACCAATGATTGTTTTAATGTATTCCAAGAATGCAACAAGGGACTATGAGCAAGGTCTGAGAGAAGTGTTGGCGAACTAGTGGTCGCTAAAATTGCGAACGTATTCTAATGTTGTTTATCAAAAGATCTACATGAAACCTGCATTTATCAAGAATAATCAACTAAGATTCTCCAAACCAGAAGCCCTAATCAAATTTTATCGTATTGGCTAAACCATTGGGTTAAAGAAATTAGGAATAAATAACAGGAAACTGTTGGTCCGGAGCTGTTCATGTGGAACGATGGTGTTTGTTAGCGCCATATGTATAGAACGAAAGAGACAAGCAGTGTCACTGATGCTATGTGACAGAACGATGAAAAAGATGACCTTCATGGGAATCGAACCCATACCTTCTGCTATCCGGGCAGTTGTCCTAAGCCAATTAGACTAGAAGGCGCATCTTAATCATCGTTTAGCGTCCAAGTGAATCATCATGGACGCTAACAATTGACCATGCTAAATCGAGTGGTGATATTTATTTTCAGTTGCAAAGTAATTTGAAACCACTGTATCGAGATTTCCGAAATGTCGCCTCTTTACGATACATGGCAGAAAAATTTGAAATGTGTAAATTTCGATATAGTGGTTTCAAATTACTTTGCAACTGAAAATAAATATCACCACTCGATTCAGCATGGTCAATTACCCCTCTCTAGACCTATTCTCCGTTTATCCAATGACAATTAGCCAAAATCGGGGGTCTCAGGAAAACCTTTATAACTTTCGAAGGAAACAAGATGGAGACCTCGGCTTTGCGTAGATCGAAAGAGCCCAATTTTTCCTATCGAATCATCACACCAAAGTTCAAAATCTCATGAGAAATGTCTTCAGGATTTCGTTTTGAAAATGTCCATCAAGAATTCACCTGATTGGTCAATTGTCAACCAATCGTATTTTTATGTCATTTAATAAAAAATATTATTCTCTTTTGAATGCTGAAAACCGCAGGTCTCTAGCTGCTTTGATTCCATAGTTATTCAAGTTACAACCGAGTCCATTGTATTTTTGAATGGATATTAGAAGAAACAAAAAACACTAAACAAAATGTTTAACGGAACAAAAGAAAAGTTAGATATAATTATTCATATATGTGTGAAACGAAAGAAAAGAACGAATATATATATGAACAACACATATAACGTATTTCTAATGGCACATCTAATATATGTGCCATAACAGTGCTGAATCGATCAAACCTAAACCAATATAAAATCATTTATTTTCATTTCATTTTTTAACATTTCGATCTCATCTTGGTGTTTTCTGATTTTAAAAGAGAATCAATTCAAATCAAATTTATTCTATTGTGATGCAGAAATATTCGAAAAATCCAGAGCGAGCATCATGCAACTATTGGTAAACAGATGAGAATAAACAAAATATCGATTGTTTCATTCACAACATCAGAAATACTTGATAATAAGCAGAATATAAACCATTGAAGTTCTGCTTTAGCTGAACTTCTTGATAATTTCAACCTAAATTGAAAACTGTAAGGAAAAGTTTCCAGTTAATCATTATGATCTGTCTACTAATAATTATTTTATTTAAAAAACTAAAATGGTAAAATAAAATAAAAACTAAGTGTAAAATACTTGAAAATAGAAAGTTTTTTCCATTTGGTGATTTGTGAATGAAATATCAATGTCAATAATCTTCTCGTCGAATGGCAGTAATTTTTTGATCTGGATCTTCATAATTATATGAAACAATAGCACGTTTTTCTCGTTCAGGTTCTGGTTCTCCTTCGGCATGTAATTTCATTGGTATACGACCACCTGTTGTGTGAGAACCAATACGAATTTCGTGGATACTATATCCTAAAATAAAATGGATCTATGATTGTAAAATCAGAACTCATGGCTCAAACATAATAAAAGCTTTCTAATACCTTGACTTTCTAATTCTTGTTTCACTGTATTAAAATTTTGCCCAACATACTTCTGTAACTCTTCCGTGGTAGATGCCATGATTTTTCTCGATGTTGTTTGGGTTACTTTTACGTATGTAGATAGCAAACAAAATGAATAAGTTACTTATGTTACCTCTATAAATGATGTACTCTATTTTGAGTTGTCTAACAGATTTTTGTTTGAATAGCTACCCAATGAATAACGAAGAACAGAAGAAAAAAAATGCAACAACATTGTATGAAGATTTTCATTACAACATTATGTACAAGTACTTTCTCTTTCGTTTCATGCGTAGGTAGTCAAGAAGAAAATGCAGAAACATACATGCGAAAAAAATTATTTTTCATCATATGTAGTCATGTTTATGATATCTGACTGTAAATAGTCGTATGCAGTTAAATACATTAGCAAAATGGCAATCGTCTATGACGACTGTTTACAGTTTTTGTAAACGATGCTTTTTGTTCTATTACAATCATCCTAAACAACTAACGTAAACTCTCATTGTTCACAACGGTTACATTAATTTGACTCTAACAGACTTTAGGTTTTTCATTGATATTTTTCAAATTAGAAGAAAGAAGTTATATTCAAGTGCGAATCCGATGCATCGGAAAACGTGTCTTAAATATTATATGCTGAGAGGCAGCATTGAAACTTGGTTACTTTTCACAAATGTATTTTACAGTGATGGAATCGGTTCGAATTTTTTTTCAAACCGAACCGAACCGTACCGATACCAAACTTAAAGAGTTAAAGAAATTTAAAAAGCTTTACTTTTTTTCTAAGAATGTTTCCATAAAAACCTTAATTAAAGACATGTTTAAAGCGTCATTAACAATTCTAAAAATGAACTAGAAATTTATCGCATAAATATTAAGAACATGGGCATTTTCTTTTTCAGAATAAAAGAAATTTTTGATGATAAAAGACTAGTCTATTTTCAATGGCTGGTCATTTTTTCTGTGCATCAAGAGCCATTTAAGGCAGTTTTTATTGTTGTTCAGTGCAGATATATAGACTAAATTCTCTACGTTATACTCATTGTAATAGAAAAATATTAGACAATAGTTGATAATAATTAATTACTACTTTATTAAACCCAGTTTTACTCTCAGCTTACAAGACTTCTATGACAAAGAGAGCTTAAAATTGAGAGAATAATCTATCCATCATTTCAAAATAGACAATTTCAATGAAATTTTCAGGTTTTCCTCATCGATCTATTTTGAAATATCATTTAAGTGATATTTTCTTAACTCAAATGACCATTGTTATATTTCTCCTGGAAATTTTAAAAGAAAATAATGTTTTCGTCATCAGCTAAGAGTGATTACAAAACGATAGTTAAGTAACACTTGTTGATATATATGAGTCCCACATATTGGAATGCAGTCTGTAAATGGGCGCACTGAATGAAACTAATGAGTAGTTGATTAAAAATAAGACATTGGCTTCACATGCTTTATCCACTCTTAGTGTACATTATCGTAACGGATTTATTTCTATTTTACGAAATTTAATGTTTGTTAAATCTTCGGTTTAATGTAGTAGAAACTCAAATTTATTCGAATTATCATATTTCCTCTTTTTTCTTTTATGTATATTTTTTTTCATACATAAGAAAGAGAAATACAAAAGTGAAATACAAGGAGAGAAGTAAATAATTGCCCGCTATGCAGCATAGATTATTTTATATATTGAAGGTGACGTCCAATATGTTCTTTGACTGGAATGTCCTTGCATGTGGAATAGAAGAAAAGAGTGTTAATTTATTGAAATCGTCACGGCCGGATAGGAAAGTAAAAGAGAAAAAAATAAAGAGAGAAATAAGAAAAGAAAAGAATAAGAAAGGGTGTGGGTGTGTGTGTGGGTGGGTGTGGTGTAGGTGGGTATGGGTGTGGATGTGCGTCCTTGTTAAAGAAAAGAGGGTGTGGGGTTGGGTGTGTGGTGTGGGTGTGGGTGTGGGGTTGGGTGTGGGTGTGGGTGTGGG